AAGCTCTAAGCAAGAGACAGAGCCACACTCGAACCCCCCAAGGCATCATTTGGAAGAGAACTCATTGTTAGGGGAGTCAGCAGCCCACTGAGACAGAGCCTTGAGAAGATACTGGCTGAGGGTTTGGTGAAAGGAGTCCCCAACTCTAAAATGACTTAGGGTTCCTATTGCCTTGAAGAGACACCATGGCCACAGTATGACCACTTTCTTATAAAGGAAAACGTTTCATTGTTGCTGGTTTAGAACTCAGTGGTTTGGTCCATTGCCATGATGGTGGGAAGCATGGTGGCAGACAGGCAGATGTGGTGTTGGAGAGGAGCTGAGAGTCCTACATCGAGATCCTCAGGCAGCAGGGAGAGAGAGAGACCCCTGGGCCTGGCTTGGGCATTTGCAACCCCAAAGCCCACCCCCAGTGACACACTTCCTCCAACAAGGCCACACCTCCTAATGCCACTCCCTATGGGGGGTCATTTTCATTCAAACCATCACAATCCCTAAGCCCCATAGCATCTGTTAAACCAGTGAAGGACAGAGCAGCCAGAGGGATGTGCCCTGAACTTCAAGCATGGATGAATATTCTAAAGAGAGTGGCTACCTGTCCCTCCAGGTAGTGAACTAGACAGGGCATTATGAACTAATATACTAGACAGGGCATTATGAACTAATAAATTGAGAAAGACTTTTTCCACAGACTGACAGGGAGAATAGGCTGTACTCCAAAGGACATTTGTCCCTCAATTTTCTGTGACTGAAGTCAGTTAAATTAACAGTTCAATGGTCTGACATGGGCATTCCCATCTCTTTTGGACTCACAGTCCATCAATGTGAAGGACTACTAATGAAGCCCATTTTTGGTGACTGGCATTGACCTCTCTGGACCTAAATATTTTTGTGAAAGCCTACAGTTCTGTGTGGACATCGTGTGTAGACTGCTCTAAGTTCCAAATATACCATTAAGCCAGATGGCATTAGAGTTAGGTAAGTACTTGTTAGTGTTTAAGTCTACGATGGTTGATATAAATGTTTAGGTAGCCAAGCAGAGTGTGGCCTGTGATCCCAGTATGTCAATGGCGGAAGCAGGAGCATCTCAGGCTTGAGGCCAGAGTGAGGTACACACCAAGACCCTGTTTCAAAAAGTAAAACAAGGGGCCAGGGATGTGGCTTAGTTGTAGCATGCTTGCCTCTCAGGCATGATGCCCTGAATTTGGTCCCCAGAATTACAGAAAACAGATGATTTCTACATGTGCCTGTAACTCCAGTACTTGGGAGGGAGAAGTAGGGGGAACAGAAATTCAGGGTCATTTTCAACTACGTAGAAGATGTGAGGTCAGCATGGGCTGCACTAGACTCTGCCTCAAAAACGAAACCAAGGCACGCCAAACTCAATTAGGTAACATGTGACAGACAGTTAAAAGAACAAGTGATGGTGTGGTGCTGTATTGCTCCCAGCCGTGCTGCTACCAAAAGGCTCAGGGTTCTGAGGAGGAGGATAACAGGGTGTATATACTCCAAACTATATGCTTTGCAAAAGATAAAAGATAAAGGCTCTCAGAAATTCAAGAGCAAATGCCACCTACATATAAGTTGCTTCTTTGAGGTAACTTTTCCAGAAAAACAACACAAAACAAGCAAGCTAGCATTCGGGAATCTGGTTTTAGCTGTATCCATAAATGTTCATGGATTAAACAATCCAAGAAGAACAAAATGGCCCAGGTTGTAGGGCTGGATTGAGAAATATATGGTGCCCTATGCTGTTGACTGGGGGTGCTTTGGGCACAGAGATTGATGTGAAGTTGAAGTCACCAGCCGGGAGGAAGATACGAAGAAAGCTGGAGCAACCAGACTGGCAGATTCGCCACAGACTTTCAAACAAAAAGCAGACTCTGGGGGACATCCAGTCGAGAGGGCTGACCCAGCTGGAAGGTATGCCAATTGTGTATTCATCTGTCCACAGAGCCCCCGAATGCATGAAATAGACTTAGGCCAAAATGACAATGAAGTAGGTAATTCAACAAAAATGCTTTGGAGATTTTTGTACCCTCTCCTTTAAAAAGTTTTATTTTGATTGACAAGAGTTGTGAATTTTTTCCTGGGGTTCAGTGTGACATTTCAATATAGGTAGGCATTATGCACTGCCCAAATCAGGGTAATAAGGGCACCATCAATATCTTGCTTCCTGTGATATAAGGAAGAGCTAGATGGAAGATCAATATGGAAACTGAAGTGAGAGAACACTGTAGAACTAGATTGCTAGATTTAGAACTAGTCTCCCGATGTTAGCTCCTAGTAGGCAGCGGTGAAACACTCCACCCAATAATAGCAGGTTGTTCTCCCGTTCACACGGGGTGGGGGTTGGGTGGGGGTGGGGGTGGGGGATCTAACAGAGATCACACAGAACCCTGTAAATCAAACTTTAATGTGTTTGAAGGGATTGGACTCATAGTATATATTCTCATTATAATGGCATGATTAGAAGTTGGTGACAGCAGGGTGAATGGTACACAGCTATAATCTCTGAAGACCTTCAAGAACAAGACAGGAAGATGCAACTTCCAGGATAGCAAGAGCTTTACTAGTGAGACCCTGGCCAAAACCACAAACAAACAAAAGCAATACAAGACAAAAAAAATCTGAAAAAAAACATCTAGTTGGTGAGCTGGTGATTGAGCAGGTAAAAGCTTTTGTTTCAAAGCCTTACAGCCTGAGTTCGATCTTGGGGACACACGTGTTGGAAGTAGAGAACTGACTCCTGGAAATTGTCCTCTGACCTGCACAGACATGCCATGTGTGGCCTATGTACGGCATCCTCCAATGTAACTTAAGAAATTTAAATCAATAACAGAAATTAGGAGAATTCACAAATATGTGGGAATTAAATAGCACACTTCTCAACAATGAATAAGCAAATTACAAGACCACAGGAAGTTACAACATATTTCAAGGTGAAAAGCTGGGGCAACATACAAAATATACGAAATGTGGCTGAAAAAGAAAGGCTTGCCCACGAGCAGTGGACACCATGTTTTAAAAAGGAGAAAGCTGAATGCAGTGGTCCACATCTTCATCCCAGCACTTTGGAAGCTGAGGCAGGAGGATTGCTGTGGGTCAGATGAGATCCTGTTTCAAATTAGCATCAGCAACAAGAGAAGAAATAAATAACAATTAAATACAAACATAAGGTATGAAACAGGGGCTGGAGAGATGGCTCAGAGGCTAAGAACACTGGCAGCTTTACCAGAGGTTCTGAGTTCAGTTCCCAGAAACCACATGGGAATTGAACTCACAACTATCTGTAATGAGATCTGGTGCCCTCTTCTGGCCTGCGGAGATACATTCAGGCAAGCCACTGTATACATAATAAATAATTCTTAAGAACACTGTATACATAATAAATAAATTTTAGAAAAGATATGAAACAGAAAGACTTCATATCAAAATCATGATCTTTCACTCTCCTGAGTGCTGCAGCTGACAAGGGCAGGGACAGCTCTCCCGCTCTTATGACCTCAGGGCCAGCTCACCCACCCTCCCTAGGCATTGATGGGCAGGGCTAGGGGCCTCTCCCCCCACAATGCCAGCTGGTAAGGGGGAGGGTCAGCTCCCTCACCACCACATGGCATATGAGGTGGGTGTGGCCAGCTACACTACTGTCACACCCTGAGGGCTATCTCGCCCTTATGTCTGCCAACAGGGTCAGCTCTGCTGTGCTGCCTAGGTGAGGAGCAGGGCCCACCTTCCAAAGTGCTGCGGTTGGCAAGGGGTGCGATCTGTCACAGGCAGTAAGGGGTGAGGGGTAAGGAGGCATCTCTCCCCACCATGCTGCTGCGTGAAGATGAGTAATGGGGACAACTCTCCCATGCTCACGACTTTGGGGCTGGCTCAATCACACCTCCACCAACAGGCGAGATGCAGGGTCCACTTTCCTGAGTGCTGCGGCTGGTAAGGGGGAGGGCCATCTCCCTCACCCACCACAGGTGGCAGGGGCAAGGAGGGGAAGGCATCTTTCCCTTGTCCTTACCCCACATGGTAGACAAGGCGGGGAGGAATGGCGGCTACCTCACTCTCACAGCTACCTCACCTGTGCCTCTGCCAACAGGGTCAGCTCTATGGTGCTGGCCAGGCGAGGAACAGGGTAGGGCATTTTCTTAATTAGTGATTTATGGGGGAGGGTCAAGCCCATTATGGGTGGTACCATCCCTGGGCTGGGCTGGTGTTTTGGGGTCTACAAGAGAGCAGGCTGGCAGAGTGGTGGTGGCGCACGCCTTTGATCCCAGCGCTCGGGAGGCAGAGACAAGAGGATCTCTATGAGTTCGAGGGAAGCCTGGTCTACAGAAAGAGTTCCAGAATAGCCAGGACTGTTTCACAGAGAAACCCTATCTTGAAAAAATAAAAACAAACAAGTAAACAAAACAAAACAAAACAAAAAAGAGCAGTTTGAGCAAGCCACAAGGAGAAAACAAGTGAGCAGCACCCCTCCATGGTCTCTGCATCAGCTCGTGCCTCCAGGTTCCTGCCCTGTTTGAGCTCCCGTCCCCACTTCCTCTGAGGGTGAACTGTGATGTTGAATCACAAGCTGGATAAACCCTTTTCTCCCTACATTGCTTTGGTCATGGTGTTTCATCACAGCAATAGAAACCCTGATTAAAACAATCGAGGCCAGCCTGGTCTACAGAAAGAGTTCCAGGACAACCTCTAAAACAATACAGAGAAACCCTGTCTCGAAAAGCCAAAACAAAACAAAAAAACAATTTGGTACCAGTGTAGTGGGGCATTGCTGTGACAGACCTGACCATGTTTTAGGGAGGATTATGGAAGGACTTTGGAACGATGGGCTAGAAAAGCCATTGAGTATTGAGATCTCAGTGGAATATTCTATAGGAGCTTGGAAGATAAACAGTACAGAAGCTGGAACCCTGCTTTGTGAAGTTTCAGAGGGAAATTTCAAGACTCTAATAGGACCATTTGCTATTTTGAATTTAGATCCTGTCATTCTGGCCAGCTGGGGTTGAAGGGTCATCATGATTAACAAGAGACCAGCACCACTGAAATGAAATCTTTGAATCACTGGGACTATTGATGATGGTTAACTGGAGCTAAGAAACTAACAGAGATTATAAGATCGGCATCATTGAGGTGAAATCTTCTGGGGAGTTTCCTGAGTGTTAGCACACAGAAGCTGTGTTCCAGAGGTGGCCAGGGTTGTACCGCAAGCTGGCAGCCAAACTTGATATTATAACAGTCACTCAGGTGGTATTAATTTTGAAGACATGAAAGGGTCATGAAGAACAGCTGAGGCTTGGCACTTTGAGAGGCCAGGAAAGACCATTGGTTAAGGTGCAGCCTCGGCAGCAGTTGAAGACCCAGGACTGAAGGGGTCATGAAAAGAAGTTGAGGTTTGCCACCATGAAGATGGATGAGGAGAGACTATTGTGAAAGTGTATCTCAGCTACCGTGGGAGACTCCAGTGTTTTGAAAAAGCCAGTGTTGTAGGATGACCTCCAAGAACAGCAGCAGCAGTGGAGCGGAGACAACCAGAGCCTAGAAGACAAGCTGCGTGTGTGTGCTGCCGAGGGAGGAACCAGAGAAATGACCCAAGCTCCGTGGAGGAGTCCAGAATATTGTGAGTGAATCCCAGATACATTACACTGTTGGAGTTTGGTTTTGCTTTGTTCAGATTGTGAGTGTGATCTGATTCTTCCTTCTTTAATTTATTTTTTTATTTTACAGGATCCCACAGTTGAGAGATTGAATTTTAAGAGTGATTTTAGGGTTCAAAAGAGAATTTGAATTTTAAAAAGACTGAATTTTAAAGTGTTTGAATTTGTAAAGACTGTGGATCTTTTTAAGTTTGTAAAACGTTTTGTGTTATGATACTGATATTGATGTTGCCATCTTGGCGATGAACAAGTAAAAAAAGGGTTGTGACTTAATAGTAATGTGTTTGTGTGTCAAGTTGACAAGGGATCAATTGAACTGGTTAGTTTTCTGTCAACTTGACACAAGCTAGAGTCATCAGAGAGGAGGGAGCCCCAATTGAGAAAATGCCTCCATAAGATAAGACTGTAGGCAAGCCTGTAGGGCATTTTCTCAATTAGTGATCAATGGAGCAGAGCCCAGCCCATTGTCAATGATGGCATCTCTGGGATGGTGGTCCTGGGTTCTATAAGAAGGCAAGTTGAACAAGTCATGGAGATCAAGCCAGTAAGCACCATTATCCATGGCCTCTGCATCAGTGGCTACCTCCAGGTTCCTTCCCTGCTTGGGTTCCTGTTCTGACTTCCTTTGATAGTGAACTATGGTGATGAAGCACAGGCTGAATAAAATCTTTCCTTTCTAAATTGCTTTCGTCATGTTGTTTCATCACAGCAATAGAAACCCTGATTAAGACAACTTCACAACTTCCTGACTGCACTAAAAACCGTAACAAACTGTAGGCTTTATGATATGTGAATTATACCTCAATTGTTAAAAGGTGTTTAAAAAACAATAATGAATCAATAACAATGTAGAAAGGTGGCTAAAATAGTGTTGGTATGGATACAGCTTTGATAAATTGTTTTATTGGAAAACTATTTTGTAAAGAAAATGAATGATGTATTTTTTTTAGAAAATTTCATATATAAATAGAAAGTACAATAAATCATTATTTGCCAGTCACTCAGTTCAACAACTGTCACATTTTAGGAATCTTGTTTCATATTTTTAACTTGTCAGTGGTAGGTAAACTGGAAGCATAGGCATTCTGCTCTGTAGTTACAGGTGCGTATTTAGCATTCTTTTCAGTCATCCACAGAATACCTTCAAAGGATTGTTATTCACTGAAGATGGGAATTGTATGTCTTGTTTACACACTGAGTTCTTTTATCAGGTGGAAATGCTTTCAGATGGAAGTGAGAGGCCCAGTCACGGTGTTGTGCAAACATGAATTTAGTTTTTCTTCATACCAGAATCTGGGGGTAGATACTTTGGTATCGGTTTAGAAGCTCAGCAAGTCATGGCAAATAGCTGAAAGACTCTCTTGGCTTTCTTCCCATAGGGAGGCAAAGCAGCCTCAATATCAGATAAGTAAAGTGCCCCCTAATCATTTCCACTTGTTGAGAACATTTTAAAGTGACATTTTATTTTGTGTAGGTGTATGAGGACTCAGGTCCTACCATGCAGGGTTGAAGTGTATGGCTTGTAGAAATAAGTTCTACCATATGGATCCTGGGAACCAAACGCAGGCTGTCAGACTTGGTGGCAAGCACTTCAGGCCACTGAGGTATGTGGCTAGTCCCCAGATTCCACTTATATTTAAATCTCATTGGCCACTTCTGGGTGAGAAGTAAGGAATTGGAAATTGGATAGAGTGGGTCACAACTAACACTGCCAGGCAGTCCCTGGAATCCAATAGGCTGCATCTCCACAGTCCTGCAGAAACTTCTGCTGCACTCTAAGACCCAAGAACATCCCTTTGCAGGACAAGGCCTCTGTGTTCTGCTGAGAACATGCACCTGAATTTTCTTTGATTAATGAGGTGGATATAGAAAGTTCTAGGCTCTTTCTTCTCTGAATATGAGGTATGTGCCGAGGTGGGCTGTCAGTCAGCTCTAGTCCTTGGAAGAGAATCTCAGTTTGATCCTCAGTGAACATGGACCACAAGCAGGATTAACCTTTGTTATTTAAGCTACTGTCATTTTTTTTAAAAGTTGGTTGTTATTGCATCTGTACTCGGCCTATTTGACTAATGCAGTATCTGTACCATTTTACAAAGAAATCCATAACTATTTTCCCAGTGAAGAATTTTTACAAATGCTCAGTCCCAATGACTTCATCTACAAAACAACTCCTGCTCCTAAGGCCCAGGGAACACAATGAAGATGATGGGGTGGGAAGATTGTAAGAGACAGAGGACCAGGAGTTTGCCGTGAGATTGTGTCTCCTAGTAATGTCAGAAGCTACACCCATAACGTATCACCAATGTAACTGCCCAAACATGATCTGAACAAAGACAACAATATACATGCCCTGTGGGTGGGGGAAAACTCAGCCTCAACCCATTATAAAGAACTACAGAAAACTAAGAAAATGCTGGGAGTGGGAGAAACAGTCTTCATCGGAATGAGCATACCATACTCAATGGTCAGCCCTGAAAATATACATCTGAATAACATTATAGAGACTGAGCAGGTTATATTTACGTTACATATATATATGCATATTTATATATCATAACAATTAATGAAAAAGGAGGCCCTAAGTTTCAAAGAGAGCAAGGTCGGGTATGTGGGAGGTTTTGGAGGGAGCAAATGGAAGGAAGAAATGATATAACCTCAAAAACAAAAGAAACAATCCAGAAAAAGAATATATAAATGTTACTTCTGATCCCATTAAATAGCAAGAGCATGGCTAAAGATATATGATAGCTGCTTGGAAATTAAATCATGTAAAATATGCTTTTTATTAAAATGCAAATCAATACTTCTATATGGTAGACCATTTAGATATTTAAGACAATGGAACCCTGTATAAAAAATATATGGTATTTAAAAAATCTATAACCTAAATGTGCTGTTACGAAAATAAACATACTTATATGTTTAAAATGGAAAATAATTGAATTAAGAAGTCAAAGTAAGTAGAAAATGAACAGCAGAATAAAAGTACAGAGGGAGGAAGTAATTAATGCAGATAAGAGTTGCACATTAATCATGAAGCAAAAAGCCAGCAGGATTGATTAATCAAATCAAGAAGCAGAACTTTAAATCAATAAAAGAAAATAGATGCATCTCTGGAAAGTTTACCTCCCCTGCATTGGGGGAGAAAACAAAGATTCAATATAAGGTATGAGAAGAAGGTGGTGTAAATTGGTGTTCTTCTAGTGGGTGGTTTGACACAACCTCAAGATGTGAAATATATATACCTTGAAGATTTGGTGAATACATAAATGCTAGAGTCAAATGAGGCTCTGAAGTGTGAAAGCTAATGAGAAAACAATGGCTTTCTTGTGAGAAACTTAGCTGACAGGTTCAGGGTGGGAGTTCCGCAGTGGATCTGGCTGGAGGGTGCCTCCTGGTCATTCTGGTCAGTGGGTGAGGCACATGGCTGTGTCCAATCGATGCTATAACCCTATCTCCCTCGTCTTCCCTCTTCTCCCAGGAACGTCTCCTGATTGTTGTCAAACTCAAAGGCCAAAGGCATCACCATAATCCTAGAGCATTTCCAAGTGGATTGGAGCCAGTGACACCCTGGTCACTCACTGTCTCTCTCTCTCTCTCTCTCTCTCTCTCTCTCTCTCTCTCTCTCTCTCTCTCTGTCTGTCTCTCTCTGTCTCTCTCTCTCTCTGTGTGTTTCTCTGTCTCTCTGTCTCTGTCTGTCTCTGTCTCTCTCTCTGCTTCTCTTGGAGACAGCACTTGGCTCATCTTTCTCTTCTGGTGCTGTAATGTATGCCTTCAGAATGCTGGTGTAAATGCCCTCTTCTTTCACAATTTTGGCCTTTAGAGGAACCAGCATGTAGGAAAGAAAGTTGAGGCTCATTCTGTGTTCTACCCTTAGCAAGGGAAGGTTCTTCTCCTCTTCCCCCTCCTCCTTCTCCCCATCCTCTTCATCTTCCTCCTTCACCTCTCCCTCCTTTTCCTCCTCCTCTTCTTTCACTTCCCATTCCACGAATCTTCCCAACTTTGTGTCCTCTCTTTAAAAAACAAAATGACCCACTGAGTTCCCTCCTCCTCCACCAGCACCTTTTCTTTTCTTTTTGGCAGAGCCTTTCTGTGTAGCCTAGAATGACCTTGAACTCAGGATTCTCTTGCATCAGTCTCCCAAGTGTTAGGATGGCATTAAAATTTCTTCTTTAGTGCTTAGAATCTTTGAACATAAAGTACAATAGCATTCATGTTCCCAGTCTAAGTTAAGCTTATGCATTGGAGTTTATAGGCAGAAATGAAGAGCAGACCATCCATCTATGGGTGTTTGCATTTATTCACATACTCACTACAAAACATTCCTTTGCATACTTACTTAGTGCTGGGAACTTTGTTAGAGTCCTGGGATTTGACAGTGAAACCAAAGAGAAGGACCCTTGCTGTCCTGGAAACAACATTTTGAAAGGGAGATAATAAGCAAAATAAGTAGGCTGATTACAAGACTTGTTGAACACCAGTCATCTTTAGAGGAAATAAAAAACAGGCATAGGGATAGTATGCATGATATGGTTTCACTGGCCTCCACCTCACAACCTTCCTGCCTCCAACTCTTGGGTACTTGGATTGCACCTCTGTACTTGACTAGATAAGCTTTTTAAAGATGCATTTTATTAATTCTTTGAGAAATTCTTTCTTACTTAGATTTTTACTATCTTTACTCCCCAGATCCTCTCCCTAATTTCTCTGAGATCCACCCCCTCCACACATCTTTCCAACTTTGTGTCCTCTCTTTAAAAAGCTAAATAACCCCCAAGTCCAATGTGTTCTGTCCATATACTCATGGAGGGGAGCAATCACTGGAGTGTGGAGGACTTACGAGGGATTGCTGGGGGGAAAGTCTTCAACAGAGACATAAACAGAGAAGATTAATGCAGAAACTCATAACTGATTAAAGTGTGGAGAGTGTCAGTGGAGTGCTGAACTAAAAGTGGGACATCACACACACACACACACACACACACACACACACACACACACACACACACACAAGGTTTAGGGGCTATTACAGAAGAGGAAGCAGAAATATTGTAGGAACCAGATGTTGGGAGGACCAGACTGAAACAGTGTCTTGTGGATAGGATTCAACCACAGCATCCGTGAGCTCAAGGCACTTGCTTACAGGAGACCTACCCAAGATCAAGGCAGTCAATATTCTAGCATTGGGTAGGAGGGTCTCACAGGTCATCCCCACCACTCCTCCACCTGAGTTATTGTAGATAGTTGATGGCTTCTGGGAGAGGGAGAGTCAG